GATAGGCAATTGCAGTTATTCTAGGAAAAAGTTTCTCCCTCAGAATAGCTGCTGAGTGCAGAACCAGGGAAGCCAATGGCACGAAGAGAAATATAGTTAAAGACTTTATTATAACATACAATATGCAATTGGCCCAATTTCTCCTTTCAACGATATATTTAAGTTGTGGTAACTCACAGCTTCTGTCTTGCTACCTCCTGGGCTTTTATCTAGGTCAGGGTGAGTAGGTTGAGGCTGGTTGCGATTCCCTTTCCCTCTTTGCTCCGTGCTGCACTTACTGATCTGATTCTGAACTTCCCAGTATCTAGTTGCAAAATGTCTAATCGCATCCCTTGCAGGACTGGAGCTTGCTGTCAGAGAACAGGTTCTGTTCTTCCCAAGTGAGCTGTAAAAGGATTCTTACGAACTCCTGAATGTCATGAAGATAACTGCTGAATCTTTTCTATTTACTGCTACCTGACAGGATAAAACTTTGCTTTGTCTTGGTACTTTGGAGGTCCCACAATGTAGTAGAGGGCAGACAAAACTTCAAAGTCTTGCTTCTGTCAACCGTTCAACAAAAGTAGACTTTCAAATCCTGCATGTGCTTAATCATTCTGACTTCAATGCTGTCTTTCTTTCTTTTCCTTCTTGCTGCATTGGTGAACCAGTGGGACGTGGACTAATTATACTTCTTCAGGGACAGTGGACAATGATTATGGGTTGTTGGATATGTTCCACTGTTTCTAGGGGCTTCCATGTAACTTGAATGTTTACTCTTGGCTCCAGCTTGCACGGCTCTTCTCCTCGAAGCAGAGCGTTTTGTTTAATAGAGCTTTAGTTATCAAAAGGAGAAGAATAGCCAGGCTTTTGGTGACTGAACAGAGGTTTTGAGCAGAGGCTTCTTTGTGCTGCTGTTGCAAGACCAACAATATTAGTATTAAGTGGCTGAATCAGAGTATCCCCAGGAAGATGGTGTGATGTAGGATTTCATAAAGTCACAGAATTTTTAGGCCTGGTACCTTATATAGCAGTGTTGTGTAACTTCGTGCTGAGTTGGGATGCTTCTTCATGTGTTATCAGTAAAAGCAAGGGCATGAGTAATTCTGTGGAAATGGAGCTTAAGGTGTATTGTGAAACTCGGGCAGTAGTGTTGTCTGAATCAGCCCAGCGAGTCTGATTGCATGCGGAGCAGTTGGAGTAGAGAGATGTTTTGAAATATGTGCTTTTTGGGATATCACATTAAGTTACTCAAAGCACGTATTGTACCAATTTTTTGCTTCTTTGGAAAATGACTTCCTTGTTTTTTTCCCTCAAATAGTAAGTTTGTATTGGAAAACTAAGAAAACTTCATGTTTGGTAGAGCAGCTGGTTGCTTAAAGCTTGGGTTTGTGTAGATTTCTATGCTCTTTCCTGCCTTTTTGTTGTCTGGCAAGTAGTGGCCAGGCGAGAGTCGGCACACAGTGTGAATAGCTGTGTGCTGATCTGTTGGGGTGTGCTGCCAAAAAAAAAAAAAAAAAAGGCAGAGGATACCACTGACGTGCCTGCTGAAGCATGTGCGACTGAGTTGCCGGTCTGATTTTTATGTGTCCACTGTGTTTTTTCTCAAGTGCTGTCAAATTCAGAGAGTGGACTTGAAAGCTGTGATTAATGGCAAGTAGTCAGGGTACTGAAGATGTAAATGCTGAGTAATCATTCCCCATCATTACCTAACAGCAAGTTGTATGGCATAAATTTCCTTGATCTTTATTGTGAGAGTGACTTTTTAATAGGTTTGAAATAAAAATATGATGAAACATTCACATTTCTCACAGCAAACTTTTTTTGAACAAGATTCATTGCCACTAGTGACTTGTTTTAAGACCATGGAAAGGTAAATATTTAAAAAAAAAAAAAAAAAAAAAAAACCAAACAAAAAAAAATCACACAACAACAACAACAGAATTGTGTAAGGATGGGAGTTTTGTCTCTGACAACAATATTTTTGTATCTTGATTCCCAATTCTGACTTCATCCAATGGTATTGCATGTACACTCGTTTTTTTTGTAGATAGCTGAAAATTGTGTATTGCAGCTTGCTGGAAGCATGATCAGTGCAGTATTGTGGATCCCTGTCAAGTCAGATGATAGTAACAGAAGTATAGCTAGAAAGAGCATACAGGTCACCAGCCAGCAAGGACAGACAACGGGCCTTTCATTGTGTTCTGAATGCTTGCTTGGAATGGCTGCTGGTGTTCAAAGCATCATGTGGTAGTTCATACAGCACTGAGCAGAGCTCTGCCTCTTCAGTTTCTTGTGTGATAGTAAAACTTTGTGATTTGGATTTCTAGAGGACCTGTCTGTATTTTAGACTTGTAAAAAAATTGTACTTTCTCTGAGAACTCTTTAGGTTAAGAAACTGATGTGAAATATGATCTGCATCTCTGGTGTGGTAAAGTAATGTTTTAACCTGTGTTTGTATAGTCAGTGCTATCAAATTCTGTTAAAAAGAGACCTTGCTGAAATGTGCATGACTAAGTCCAGGTTCTTCTGCTTGGTGTGGTATGTTGCCCATTAGTAACACACTTCGCTCTGCTGCTAGGCAGGAGAGAAAATAAAAGAGTGCCTGGTGGCTTTAATAAAGTAAATAAATGTGACTTAAAGCATAGTTCTGGCATTACTACTCTTGTGTTTAGATGTTTAGAAGGAATGAGTTACTCCAGGAAAGGCTTTTGGAAGCCTGCTTTCTGAAGGTTTGCAAAAATGGCAATGCAGTGCAGGAATTGATGCCTTTAAGAAGCTTGTATAATTTTTAACTGGCGCTGTTTGGACAGCAGAGCCCTCCTTCGTCCCTGCTTGCATATTCATAGAGCTGTTATCGGCTGTTGCTGGTAAATGATCTGAAGTCACATGGGACCTTGTTTTCCAATTTCTCAGAAGTGTTCTGTAGTGCTCAGGAAGGCTTGAGACTATTTGACATGGAGGTTTGTGGGTTGTGTTGTGTCTTTTTTTTTCCCCCCTCACTCTGAATGATTAGACACTTCAGGGTGAGGATGAAGCAGTAAACTGGGAGGGAGAAAGGTGGAAGGCTGGGTTGTGGTTTCACTGCTGCTGTTAGTTGATCTGAGTACAGGTTTCAGTGGTACTAGTGACATGGTAATTGTGATGAGTTTCTTTGATCTGACTTGGTTTGGGTGGTAGAAGGGGGAGTAATGTGTGGCCTGGTGTGGGTGGGGATCAGAGGGACCTCCTCTTTCCTTCACTGGTACATTTTGGGTTGCTTGCAGACACAGCACAGCCCTGCTGGGTGTAGGATCAAGTGAGGGCTGTTCTAACACTTGTCTTTCTGCTTCTCTGAAATTAGGCATAATTTTTTCTCATCAGCATTGCCTAATGTTCCTCCCAATCCAGAAGTTGGGATCAGGGTGGGGGGACTGTGTGGGTTTGGACACAACCAGCTCCTGCTGCTTGTTATTCTGTGACAAGCCGCAGAGGGCTTCTCTACTGCCTTGCAATCCTATGACTGCTACTGGTACAGTTACACTCAACAGCCTAAGCACGGAGAGGCTTCTGCTGGCCACCTCGGACTGCCCACAGCAGGTGTTGAAAGCTCTACCTGGACATGTTCTGATGACACAAAATTTGTCAGCAAAAAGCAGCACTTATGGGAAAGACTGCTACTGCTGACAGTGCTTTGTGTTGTTAGCTAGTATGGTAGAACAGACTTGTGACTTTTTGGACTTTTTATCTTCTACCTTTGTACGAATAAGTATTAAACAAATACCTTTGGTTTAATTTTATTGGCTACCATACTGCAAAGAATGACTGTTTAAATTTACAGACTCAAATCGCTGTGCTGAACTTCACTCCTTTATGGAGTACAGTTACTGAACGAATGCTGAATAGCTGCGTTTATGGCAAGCAGGAGCTACTGGTGTTATTTTTAGATGAGTATCTAAATCACTGATTTAGAGCTATCCTTGGATCGTTAGGTCTGGTTCCTGTTGTCTCTATCCAGTAGATGACAATGAGGACTGTGGGACACAGAAGCAGGCTATATAGAGTGGAGACACATCATGTATGACATACATATGCAGTCTGTCTAATCTCACTAATCCTGAGCAGTCTTTGCAATGACCTGTAAGATTTATCACATTTGGCTACTAATGCTCCTGAAGATGCTGTGCTGCTACAATTCTGAAGTTAGCTGGCTGTGTAGGGGAGAAAACCCC